CAACGTGAGAATCAGAGAGCGTGTTTGGCCGCGGTTTGACCGCGACCGCGGCAGAACCACAGGAGAGGCGGAGAACTTCAGGGACTAAAGTGCAAAATACGGGATTTTTAGCCCAAAACCCTATTTTATACACTAGACTTCGCCTAAGAGAGGCATGTATTGATTTGGAGAGTTTTTTGGCAAGGAAAAACAATTGTGAGAGATCACCCAAAACATCTTTCTTCTTTTCTTTGATTTTTCTTGCAAGTTTTATGATGAATATTGTTTTAGTTTGTTTACCCATAGTTATGAGTAGCTAAATCCTTTGTCTAAGGTTTTGATGGAACCTATTGGGGGATGAACTTCTTGTTTATGTGAATACAAATTGCTAGTCTCAATCTTTATTTGTTCAACTTTGTGCATGTTGTAGTTAATTGACAGGATCCTCAATTAGCTGTGCCTATTTAGTGTGCATAACTCGGGAGAGATTGCATATTTAGGTTATTGTTGAACAACAACACTCCCAAAGTATAAAAGGGATCTATAACTGAGGGTTTAAAGGCGGGATTAGGGATAACGAAGCCTTGAGTGCAATCTAAAGTGAACCGTGTTAATTAGAGCTAGCTAGTGTATCTTGGGAGAGTGCATTGAGTATACTACTGTGATTACTCGGGAGAGATTTACGGTAAGATGAGCGTTCATGATTGATAGAGAGGTGTTGATCAATTTGTATGAAGCATAAACAGAAGAGATTCCATCAATAGGGGAGGTCATTACCTTAGCGTTTTCTCATTATTGTTTACAACCTTAGCATCCTTAGTTTACAGCTGTTTATTTACTTGCAATTTTAGTTATTAAAGACACCATCAACTGTGATTCAAACGTTTGGGGAAATTGGTTCTCAAGAGTTTAGTGGGTCTAAATATAGTGATTGATAGGTTAACTCTTTGTGGATTCGACTCTGGGCAGAATACTCAGGTTATATTTGCAACGTCCGCATTGTTCTTTTTATAAGGCATATTTGGGAGTGATCACCGGGTCTCGACCCTGCAAGCACTCTCGATCTCCAACATGTAAGTCTAAAAACAACAAGGAGAAGAGAGTCGATAAGAGCCAAAGTAAAAAAAAACAAAGGAGAGAAACTTACCCTCAAGCCTAATGCGGCCATACCTTGCGATAGTTTGGCATTGCTAACTTCCTGAAGAGACCCGCTTTCTGCGGCAGAGCATAGAAGGTCAAACTGCGGCACAAAATCTATCGTATCTTGCAGAAGGTTGAGATCCGACGGGATTTCGAGTATTAGGGAAGGACCTCCCGCTCTTACCACAGTTCGGGTAAATCACTCCTCGAACATACTCACATCGTCAGGATCGAGGTCAGATTCAGACTCGTAATCGTCCACCATGATGCTTTCCCCCCCTCTTTGACCGAAGAAGAAGTGCGGTTCGGTCGGGATGACGAAGAGCCGCCCAAGATAGTAACTGCAATCCCGGACTCCGTCTCTCCACTACATCAGCTTGTTGACCGCTCACAACACGCGACGTCTCCATAACAGGGCTGACATTATCTCTGATTTCTATCACTGTCGGGGTAAGGGTGCCCCTCGGAGAAGTATCGGTCGGGAAAACCTCTTCCAACACCACCCTTTGTTTATTCGGTGGGGCCTCATTACTACTTACACAAGAAGATTGGTCGACTGGACAGGCTGCAGGGGTCGGAACCTCCGACTGAGTAATCTCCAAATGTGCAGCTTCGGCCACAGGTGCAGGCTGAGTAGTTCTTGATACAGGACGGGCAGCAACCCTTGGCGTAGGACTAATAGAAGGTGGTTGACGCAATGCAAGTGGAGGAGCCCTCGTCCTTCGGACCCTCCCTGTCAGCAAAGAAAGACGGTCATATAACGACAAAATCAAACTATAAGGCAAAGAACAAAGAACTGCAATGGGCCGACTCACCGGTGAGAGGCTTACGCCTATATCTCTCATAGAAGAGCGCCCACTCGCGAACCCCCACTGTATGGGGAAGAATGGCATTTACCCACTCACGGATGTCGTCAACTGGCGTGGGAGGCAATCTCTCTGCTGTGAAAGCGAAAACAAGTCATTAGCAATGCCACCTACAGAAGAACGGTCGACGACCGCCTCGAGAGGAATCACAAAATAAACAAAGGAAAACTTACGTGCGAAGTTCCACGTCTCAAGGAACCCCGCCGAGTTCTCCACAAGGTGCTCTATCCGCACATAAAAATAGTTTTCCCAGAAGCGGTGATTAGCCTTATCATCCATCTTCACCATCAAACTCTTGGTTCTTCGATGACGTATGTGGATCATCGTGCCTCGAATAAATTGAGGGACAAAAATATTAAGCATATGCCCCAAAGTGATCCCTCGACCGGCGAGCTCCACGTACTTGAGAAGCATGAGGAAGAGCTTGTACGCGTACGTTGAAAGCTGAACGGGGCACACTTCGTAAAAACGACAGAAGTCCACCACTAGAGAGGGGAGATGAAGCATATATCTGACAACAAAAGGATACGCGTAAAATGCATAGTATCCGGGGCGGTGCAAGTGCACAATGTCTGTTCCCGTCGCCGACACCATTTCGATATGGTTTGGAATTCCCCACTTGGTCTTGAGCGCAGTAATTGTCGCTTTATCCATGGTAGAAGGGACAAGTTCTGGTTCTTCTCCGGCGGGGCTATTAAAATCAGTCCATAATTTCCCCGGGCGGGGTAGTATCTCAGCCATTATCGGAACTCCCTCATCTTCCGTCACCTTCACTCCCTCTCTAAGAGGGGGTACTTCATTTTCTGGCACCGTATCTTCGACGAACTTGTCGGTCTGGGAAGAAGTACCAACCATTTGACTAACTTCATCGAAATAAACAAGAGTGATGAAGGAAAAGAGAAATGGTCACATCAAATTCAGACGAAAGTAGAAGTATAAAATCGGAAGTATGAAATGTTGAAGAGGGCGGAAGTTTGCAAAATTCCTCAGGTAAACCGAAAAGTGTAACAATCGAATGATAGGTTCCCCTATTTATAGGAACATGAATGTCCTAAGCGGGAAACCCAAGAGCCGCTAATCAAAAAATTGAAAGGGCACGGGAAACGATACGGTGCCTGGGAAACGTGCACCATAATGATGCATAATGGGTATCCATGATATCTCGAATCGATGCAACGATTAAGCTCTGAACTGACATAACAGTCCGATGATACCACTGAAGCGTCACGTCGCCGCCTCGATTTAAGGACCTCGTTCAATGCTAACGTTCAAATTTCTCCTAATTATTGAATCGATAGAGTCTGCCTGTTGTGGACAGAGGAACTAACTCTATGGGTCAAAATCTGATCATAGGATGATTGTTCTTAAAGTGAACGACAAGGGGTCGCCCAAGCCGTAATCATGCCCATGAGGTATGATAGCAAAGAGCATCTCAGTCACTGTCGGGGTCAAATCGTCGGAAAGCTTACATCGCAGAACAAGCGTAATGTTTGAGCGAGTGATGAAGGGTACAATAAGAAAGTACGCCGGTCAAAGATCATTGGATAAAAGGAAAATTGCTAATATATATAGGGGAGCTGAGCCTAGAGAAAGGGGGGTGATTCTTGATAGCCATCATGATAGAGTCAACAAGGGGAATCTTTTCATCACCCATAATTTCTTCTCTTCTTCTTCCTTACTTCCATGATCATGGTGCAAATCTGTCTTAGATGTAAGTCTATCATTCATATTCGATGTACAATAATTATATTAAGAAATATTACACATTCTTATTTTTCTTCGATTTTCGTATTCATCATATTTGGATCTAGAATTAATTATATTTGGCTAAGATTTACCTTCTATATCTCTGATAATTAGTTTGACAAAAGGGTTTAATAATTTTTGGTCAAACAACAACCATTTGTCATCATCATTCTTGCTACCAAAAGGGTATGTGCTCTCTCCCGAATAATTTCTACTATCCCGACCAGTAATTTCTTGCATTGGAGCATCAAAACTTACACAACCTGGTAAACATGCTTGGTGATGTGGAGCATTTTCTAAGGTCTGTGAAGTCAAACAAATGAAAAGTGCTTAGGATAAGTTTCTAAAAATAAACTAATTTTGAAAAGTATTTTTTTCTTTCTAAAATGCTTTTTTCAAAACTACTTTTAGTAAGAAGCGGTTTGTATTTAGTTAATTAATTTGAAAATCACTTTTGAACAACAATTAGTATCTAGCCAAATACTTCAACTTTAGAAAGAAGTACTTTTTTGAAAGAAAAAGAAAATGCTTTTGGCTTTGGAGAATTTTGGTTATACAAGCTATAGTTCCAAGAGAGTTTTTTTTTTTTTTTTTTTTTTTTTTGACATGTATCTACTATGTTCTTAACTTTAAGAATTGCACAATAGCGTACTTTTTTGGTTCCAAGAATATACTTGTTTTTTTATAAATAAATCTCCACCAGGCAGGGTACCTGAATGGCTTCTAACCTGATACAATCAGGAGTAAAATATGGACGTGCAGGGGTGTGTTTGGTACGAAGGAAAACATTTTCCGTCATACCAAACACACCCTAAGAGTCAAAAATTCTAGTATCATCTTAGGATTTAAATGACATCCTAAAATGATAATACAGGATGAAGTGTTAATAAAATGAAGCATCCTTATCATGCTAACAATCAAAAATTCCATGGCTAACTTTTTGTTGGACATCGAAGCATGAAAAGATTACAAAATTCCTTTAGCTGGCAGCTATTCAAATGAGTTCCAATAAATAGCCCCAGTAATTTATTTGAACCGATAAACTATTTCTTTGTTTAGTTCAAGTCCTTTATTTTTTTTCTAGCTATGGCCAATTAAGACGTTTTTTTTTTGAGTATTTCTATCTCTGCAAATATAATCTACATGAAGAAATAACCACAAAACACTGTTGATCCCAAAAGAAAGTAAGAAAACAGAACCAAGAAAAAGAAAATACAAAGGCAAAGTGAAATCTCAGCTGGCTAGCATGCCCCTCTAGTTAGCCAAATATACCAAATAAGAGATATTAATAATTTCCAAGCACAACCTTCAAATGATTCAACCATTAACAAGAGAATGAACCAAAGCCAAATGCATAGACCTTTGCATAACAAGCCCCACTATTTAACAGATGGACATGACATTTACATGACTGAAAATCACTAAATCGTCAATGAGGAAAAACAATTAGGTCATTGGTTTATCTACCCAATGGTACAACTGGATTACACAGAAAGAAAGCCAGTAGAACACTTTAGCAGATCATATGTGAAGCACAGGTATATCGTTGGTTCCATTTTGTGAATGAGTCTCCAATGTTCTAATGGCTCGTGCCATTTCTTTGTCAGCCTTGATTCTTACTTTTCTTTTCTCTACTTCTTCACCAAAACATATATTACCACTCGAGGACTGCAACAATCTGGATGCCACTGGTTTTGATCTACACGGCCAATAGTGAAATCCTCTGCAGCTGCTTGTAAGAAGTACTCAAGGATAGCATCTGCCACAAGAAAATCACATGATATATATCTATCTCCAGACCATCTGAGATTTAGTAATATCCAGAGTCTATACCGTTCCGGAGTTCTCCAGCTAAAATAACTGTTGTCTGAGTACCAGAGAGGTTGAGAAGTGTTGCTAACAAATCCATGACAGCTCCCTCACTATAAATCACGTCTGATCCAAGTACTGAAATACAAATATATTCAGAACATGAAACAGTAAACTAAAATCAAGGATATGCAAACTGGACAAGTGACCAGAGATCATTTACCTGGCCTTTGGAACATGAAAGAAGAGAAAGGGGGTGGAATGTGAGCTATCACGCTGAGTATGTGATATTTTTTAAATAACAGAGAAATCCCCTAGGGCTAGCTGGCTCGCAATTCGAAACTAAGTGGATAATGGATCAGTCCCTCTATCCTTCTCCACTTAAATACAGACTTTTATCCATGACAGGGTTCAAACTCGTCTGCTCAACCCACACATCATATGCTGCAGTCTTACCTCTGCACCAAACCCTGAGGGTCCCTAAAAAATCTTTTGGCATGTCAACGTAGAAAACATTGAGGTGGTGTCCCATGTTTTGCTATGGGTAGAGGGAGCGGTGAGAGGATGCAAAGCTGTAGGTAAGAACATCCATTTTCTTTGCAAGATTAGGTGGCAACAGTGTTTCATAAATAGGCAAAATTAATCAGGCCCAACAAATTCTAAAAAAAAAAACATAGAGTATCAACAACCCATATACGCTCAGCAGCAATTTTGGACTGGTCTAAAACTGATAGCACGAACAACCTATATATACCTACTTGCTAACTCAGACCATTCTAAAGCTGATAGCAAAGTGCATAACAACCCATATACACCCACTGCAACTTTTCAAGTGAGGGAGAAATGAAATTAGGTTTTGATTCTGGTCGGACTTTGTAAGAAAGCTTCTTAAGAGCAGGAGCAAGGGTCAAAACAAACTGATTCATTTGTAGTTGTTATTTAGCCACTTGACATCCTTATCAATTTTTTTTTAGAAAAAGGAAAAAATAAAACAAAAGTAGCCAATTGACATATATCTCTTATTGAAGATGTAATTTTCTCCATATTTAGTCTATTGATTACATACATAGATCTACTCACCTCTGGTCAACGGACAAATTGATTTCAAAGGGGGGATGTTACCCATTTTGCCTTTCAGGATTGCTCTAATATATTAAAAGACTAAAGCTGGCAAATGTCTCCACTTAATAGAAGCCAGTCTTATACACAACAACTTCAAGTTCTACAAAACCTTCATTCGATAAGGCTTCTAATCTATAAATGAAAAAAGGATAATTGACAAGAATTCTGGAAAAATAATACTTCTGTGGTTAGACAGTTAAATAGTATATAACTAATTCTAGTTCACCTCCTCCACAAAGAAAAGATAATTATAAGAAAAGAAAATAACAATATAAAGCAATATGCGACAACATTGTGAAGGGAAACTAAACAACCGCAGATATAAGAATATGGTATTTGATTATGTATTGTGAAGAAAATGCTATAGGGAATGAGACCATCTCAGATTATTACCATAATCTGGCAAAGGATCCTTTATATCATGATCTAGCTCATCTCCCCATGTGAGCTCATCCACTGTTGCAGAACCTCTTACATCTCCATACAAATTAGCCTCTACATTTTTCTTCAGTAGCCTCAGTCTATCCGGTAGGTCAGTGAGAATAACTTGACCACCCAAAAGAGCTGCAATGCAGCTGGAAACATTGTATGAGAGACTTAATAAGAGAATTGAACCATTTAACAACAGTATACTTATGCCATGTAAAGTGAGTGATTTAAACATTTAATTTCCACTACTAGCTACCAACATAAATTTGTGAGCAAGTACTTTACTTTGTGCACATGCCATGCCTTGTTTCTCATACACATTTCGGAGACAAGAAACTACAATAGGAACTAATCCAAACATTATTTTGTTGGAACGTGCAAGTGCATCGTTTCAAACTCTTGACTGCCATCCACTAGCTTAAACCAATAATGACTGGAAAATCATTTTGACGAATCAGATATCAACAACAACAACAACAACAACAAAAAACCCAGTGAAATCCCACAAGTGGAGTCTGGGAAGGATAGTGTATACGCCGACCTTACCCCTACCTTAGGGAGGTAGAGAGGCTGTTTTCAAAAGCCCCTCGGCTTGAGAGGATGCGAATCAAATATCAATGTCATAAAATATAAACAGCATTACCCAACTAATCCACAGCCAGAGCCCAACTCAACAACCTTCTTGCCTTGAAGATGAATTCTTCCTGATTCTACAGCGTGCTCCAAGAATTTCCCAAGGACCACTCCACTATCCCACATTACAGAACCAGTTACTCCAGGAGTACCCTGAAATACAAAATACAGCTTGGTCGTTAGAAATTTGATGTGTGTGTGTGTGTGAGAGAGAGAGAGAGAGAAAGAGAGAGAGAGAGAGAGCAACCGAAATAATGTCAATGCTTTACCAGTGCTAGGAGATCACATTGTTTCACAAGCATTTCAACTTTCAGCAGATAAACTAACAGCAGCTAACCTAAATTGCCTCTGGGTCATGTCATTGCCAAAGCTTATTAGTCATCTCATAAGTTACTATTCCAAGTGTCTAACTGACACAAACTTTAGCCAAGTCATCATAATTTTCAAGAGTAAAAGCAGAATATGCAGCTAAAGTTCATATACACTAGGACTAGGTGTTATTTTTTTATCACTATACAATAGGTGTGATTTACTATATATAAAACATCTCGAGCTACTGATTCTGATCTTGCCCTAATTCTGTTCGAGAGGTCCATGGTAGCAAGAAGTACAAGTCAGACATGTGGGAGGGGAGTGCAGGTTATTTGAAGTAATGAGGATTTGATCCGTTAGCAATTAACAATAATACCAGTATCTCCTTTGTCCTGTGTAAGGAAAGGACATGGGAAGAATACATACCTATAAGACAATGACCTTCAAAGGCAATGACAAGGAAAAAATAACGCTAACAGTGTTGGCTTAAAATTAACAGTAGGCTGAACTAGATGGATTGTAACAGCAGAATTAACTTACTAATGATTCCCAAATGAGTATCATAATGCGCCAGAAATGGGCTATGAAATTTTGGCATACGAAAATTACATGCTGCTGTTCTCAAAAAAAGGGCTATGAAATGAACTGCACTCCACCAATGGGTTTGTTTTTCTTTTGTCCTTTTATGGGCAGTTCACATATAAAACATGCGACCTATAGCCCAATAGTGATATCCGTTTCAGTAACAAAGTTAAGCTTATTTTAGGCACTATTTAACAGTAGGTCGCATGTTTAACCAGCGTAAGAAGCATGCGATCTACTTTTAAATTGAGCCTAGTGTAAACTAACTTTTTGACGGAAACGAGAATCAGTATTGGGCTACATGTCGCATTTTTTATAGGTGAACTGCCCTAAATGGGCAAAAAAAAGAGAAGAACCCATTAGTGGAGCGCAGTTCATTTCAGAGCCCATTTTGGGCGCAGACTCCAATTAATGTTCAGCAGGAGACCATACTCCTCTTTGTTCCTAAGCTTACTTCTTGAAAATGTTCTAGTTGTGATAATCATGTATTGAACCTTGAGAAAAAAGACCATGTCCTAAACTTGCTTAAGTTTCTCGAAGGTCAGATCACGCTATTTGTCGTTGGATGGTTGGCAGTTTGCTTTCACTGACTTTGCTGCACTTAAAATTGACTGCTAAATTTAGTTACTAGTTACTATTCATAAGATCCTCTGCCTGTTAAAAACCATGGAACTTGATCAATGATGATAACTTTCATGTGGTAATTTGCTTCTCGGGTATTAACTCTTTAGACTTAACTCATTATAAGAATGACAAAATCCATGTTTATCTGGCTCACTCTTTTCACTCATCTTCATGAAGTCCTTAAAAACTTGCCAATTGATAAGTCGATGTGGATTTGGGAATTCAGTCTAATTGGCTGATTATATACCCAAAACAACCAAATATTAACTCAAAACCCCCATAATCTACTAATCATAATTAACCCATTTACAACTTTGTAAGTATAGAAAAAGTTTCTCCCGACAATTTCATCAATTTCTCTCCATAAAGAATAAAAACTTACTTTATCTTCATTTGATAATTAAACAAACTACCAGAAAGAACCCCCCTCCCCAAAAAAAAAAAAAAAAGTACTCATTTTGACCTTAAGCGAGTTAAATCAAGAGTAATCCATTAAGAAATAAAGGAATAACTATCTAAAACAAGCCATAAATAATGGTGGAGCTATAAATCATGTATGAAAATTTAAAGTTAACTTGTTTCTACGTATAAAAAGGTACATTTTTTTCCGGAACAAATAAAAAAGGAAAGTGAATCACGTAATTTGGGACAGAGGGAGTGCACAAACCAGGTTAGAAGGGGACTGAAGAATGGAGAGAGAGCGGCCACAAGCGTCAATAGGGAGCTGGAGAGAAGTTTGACGGGCGAAGGCATTGGGCTTTGAAAACGTTGGCTGTTGAATTCCCCAAAGCAACATAATCTCCTCTGCTGGCTCTTCACTGTTCACCAATCTCACCTTCCCTCTGTACATTCCTAACTCTTCAACCATCCTCTCTTCCTCTTCCTCCTCGTATGAGTACTCTTTCTCCGCAGCTTTTCCGGCGAGGTTTGTTTCATCTCTTACGATGCCGTCGACGTTCATGGCTCAGTGCTCTCCGCGCTTGCGCTCCTGCGAGAGGGTTTAGAGTTTAGACCCTCTTCGGCACTTTTTGGGTTGGTCATTCGCAGAAGCGAGTGCACAAATAGCCATATTTAGGAAACTATTTAAGGAGTAGTCATAATTTATAATGTTTTAAAATTTAACAACAACAACAACAACAACACAGTATAATACTATTTCCAAATAGACCCCCGACATCCATCCCTCCAAGAACTTCTCACCTTGCTCTTGGGGAGACTCGAACTCACAACCTCTTGGTTGGAAGTGGAGGTTGCTTACCATCAGAGCAACCCCTATTGTCTTGATTTAAAATTTAACCATTTTAGAATTAACTTTAAACCGGTAAGAATTATTTTTTTTATAAAGGCGCCTGGGGCCGCTGATTATTATTAAGCATTAAAAAGAAAGAGAGTTATTATAGTGTCGGACTGATCTTATCGGAACAGTCCCTAGTTTGTCTTTGCAGAAAGTAGAGAAAGCAAATAAAGGTGGTTCACTCCAGAAGTACTCGCCACACTCAGCATTAGCATGTGAGTTACAGTTGCTTCCAAGCTTCGCTAGTGTGTGCACCACTTGATTTCCTTCACGGTAGACATGCCTAACTTCCGATTGATCCAATGCTTCTAACAGGAACCTGCAATCATGGAGAAGATTAGCATTAGCTTTAGTGTGAGAATTGTCATGTAGGAGTTTTAGGTTTCCACTATAAGCGGTATTCCATTTTTTTGTGAACGCAAGTTTCAATCCTTTTAGTAGGGCAATGATTTCAGCTTAGATGGGTGATGAGGCCATTGTATGGTAAGAGAATCCATCAATTCATTGACCTTTGGAATCTATGATGATTCCGCCTGCTCCTCCTTTATCGGAGTTTTTTTGGTGTGCACCATCTAAATTGAGTTTATAGATGTTGTGTGGTGGTGGGTCCATTTTATCAGTATTTTGGTCATTATTGGGTGTTTGAAATTCTGATTTGTGAGACAGGGATATTCCATTACGTACATAATTATTTTCCTGGTATCAATGTGGTGGGAGTCATTATTGAATAGGTTCTGGTTGCGGTTTAGCCAAATATACCAAAGGATAATATGGGTTATTATTGCCAAAGGTATGGGAAAATTGTTTGGTAGTAAGATGCTTGCATCTGAGGTACAATTTTCTTTTATCCAGTCAAGATGGTTTGAATGTGTTGGTGGACTGGTGTTTAGTTATCCCCATATGTTGCTGTTGATGGGACATTGAAAGATGAGGTGGTGTGTATTTTCCTCTGTACCACAGTGTTTGCAAGAATTATTTTCTATTATGTTTCTTTGGTATAGAACATCCGCAGTTAGTAGTCGTTGGTGTAGTAGCAGCCAAAGAAAGGTTTTTAGTTTGTTATGGCAGTATACTTTCCATAACTAGAACTAGAGAAAATGTTCCTATTGTCGGGTAGTCCATGTTAGTCTAGTGAAGAGATTGTACACTGATTTCGTTGTGAAGTTCCCATCCTCTATTTCTTTCCAAAAGAAGGAGTCATTTAGGTGTTCAAAGAAGAGGATGTAAGTTTGTTGTATGATGTCAGAGATCGTATTTGGTAGGTCATATATTAGTGCGTCTAGATTCCAGTTATTATTGGTAATGATAATGTTAACTGTTTTAGTAGAATCTTCAATGTTGGGTGGTCCCTTGATTAATTTCCATAGTGCCTAACCTGTAACCCACTTATCTTCTCAAAGTCGTACTTTTGTCCCGCTTCCAATGTTCCAGGCTATACCTTTGGAGAAGAAAGAGTATGTTTGGCAGCACTTTTTCAAAGGTATTTTGATACACTTTTCCAAGCGTGGGAAACTTATCCTAACCCTATATAACTCAACAAACTCGCCCAAGTGAAGGTTAAACTTGTTTTTAGACTCAATTGGAAGCAAGAACAAGTGTGAGAAGATCAAGACACCATTAGAGTTTTTCATTCCTCTTGTTGTTATCATTATTTTGTGAATTATGAATGATTTTATGGTTTTATCTTATTTTACCATGAGTAGCTAAACATGTAATCTAGGGTTGATGGAACCAATTGTTAGATGAAGTTTTGACTCAGTTTTGTTATAATCGAGCCGAGTTTATTATATGATTGTTCAACTATATTTTGTATGGTGATTAATTGAATGGGCCCTTAATTAATCGTGTCTAATCACCTTTATTAATCATATACCCTTAGGTGTTCATCTTAGCAACCAGTGAGTAAGTTATAAGTTTCACGACCCAAAATCCACCTAGTCGTAATGGCATCTAACCTAACACGGTAGGTAAGCGAAGCAACAGTTACACAATTCTAATAAAAATAAAAATAAAATCTTTAAGTGAAATAACTGAGTTCCCATACATTAACATAAAGGATTGGTAGCAAAAGTCATGAGCCACTAAGACTTAGATTTACAAAACGGGTATGAAAATTAAATACAACATCTATCTTGAACGTACATAAACAGAAAATGAATCAAAAACTATCAAGGACAAGTGGTAGCTATGTCCGGAAAGCAGGTACGTCTTCAATGCCAGCTCCCGCTATATCAACATCAGCACCAAGATCTGCACGCAAGGTATAGTATGAGTATAACCGACCCCGTGTACTCAATAAGTAACAAACCTAACTTGAGGTTGAAAATAGTGACGAGCTCGGAAGAAGGTCAATGTACAACACTAGTGATCAACAATAATACAGAATATAATGATGATAGTAACAGTAAACAACTCAACAAATATCATGTTGAACTCGTTCACAAATCTAGAAAATTAGACATGCTTTACAAGTATAATAGTTTAAGCCCAAATCTTTCACCGGGGTCACTAAATATATGAGTTTATCAGAGAACTCTGATTTTTCCAAACTTTCAACAACAGATAAGACTTTTCATTTACTAGTTAGCATGAGAAAAATACATCTTTATACCTATATGTCAAGTATACATGTCAAATCAGTAACATACCATATTGTCATCTAGTATGAGAAAAATACATCTATATGCGTACATGTCAAATAAAAAATGTCACAGTAAAATCATCAAGTACACTCACTCTCAGCACACTCAAAGTGTCTGGCTCAACTGCCCCTCACCATCACACACACAATCACTCAGCACTG